GTATTGCTAATTATGATTGGTCAAATCACATGTTGTTTACATGTAAATCATATAATACCATATGATATTGGTTACACAATGTTGATCTACAATCTATTTTATATGAATTTGGAAATAGTTACATCCTACCCTTAAAGAAAAGCTAGACAGTTTTTAAAAAATAAAATTTAAAAAAACTTTTTAATAAAAATTAATTTTATTTTATATATATTTTAAATACAATACAGATTATATCTATTGTAATAAATCTATATAAAAATTATTTGCAGATTTATTACAATAAATAAAGTTTTTTTAAACAATAAATAAAATTTATATTATTATTAAATTTAGCTAAATAAAAATAATCATCATTTAAAAATTTTATAAAGTCAAATTTAAAAAAAAAACAATAGGACCTGTAGATCTTTAGTATAGTAATTGTATTTATGGATTATTAATTACAAAGGTTGCTAGTTAGAGAAGATAATCAACTATGTCAGAACAATAATTGTAGATCAATTATATATCAAGAAACTAATAAATATATAAATTCTTGATGCTCAAGTTATGATCTATCGCTATAACTGAAGATAGTCCTTACAAATAAAGGTATAATAATCAGAGAATTGGAGTAAATCAATTAAAACATCCCAAATAAGATAGCTCTGATGAAATTCTGGGTTGATTCAAGACACTTCAGGTAAAACTCCTATTATTAGCAACAATAGAAAAAAGACTATGAGGCCATAACAATAAAAAACTGCAGACACTAAGATCAGGTCCTACACCATGGGACTAGAGACTCGAGATGTTACAAAGGTAATAGACTTGATACTACATGGCACGAAGAAGCTGGGGAACACCACAGGTGACATACATAGCAACAAAATATGTTAATTTGTTAAAGAACCTTCAGAATGTGTAATGATGTAAAAAAAAAAAGTATTATTAATGTAAATTCGTACATACAAGAGCGAGCAATGCAGATTCGGTAAATTTAATTTTACAGCTGTTTTTATAAATTCCAAACAACCAAGTTTTTAATAATAAATGAAATCAAAGTAAAAATTTATATATTATAAAAGTTTTTACATATAAAAATTATTACAAAATATAGATCGAAAAGAAAACCAGAACGAACATAAATCAGATAAAATTATTGAACTAATAAATTTAACGACTAAAGAACCTTTAGCTTGTTCATTTATAATAAATATTATAAAAACACTCAGAAAAATTACGAAGAAAATCGAATGTGTTCAGAAAAAATCACTGGGAGAATCAAAAAAGTTCAAAACCAAGAGAATCGAAAGAGTCCACAAAGACCTACTGAAAGAATCAAAAAAGTTTACAAATATCTCTTGAGTTAATTAAAAAAGTTCACCACTGGAAGAATCAGGAGTTCAAGAATTACTAGTGGTTCTTTGTAGACTCTTTTGATTATCTGGGAGAATCAAAGAGTCTACAAAGAACCACCAGGGCCATTACATGTTCTAAATCATGCTATTTTACATCTCGAAGTAAAGAGCAAACCTAAAAGAGAAAAAAATGTTAGCAATAGAAAAGATACAAAAAAGAAATAAAATATTAGACTGATACTTATCTTTATACCAGTTCAAGTAATCACCAAACCTCGAGAGAATCAAAAGAGTCCAGAACTATCAGGATAATCGAAAAAGTCCACCACCAGGAGAATTAAAAGAATCCACTATCAAAAGAATCAAGAGTTTAAGAATTACCGGTGAACTCTTTTGATTTACCTAGAGAATCAAAAGAGTCCACAAAGAACTACCAAGGCATTACATATTCTAAGTTGCATGCCATTTCACGTCCCAAAGTAAAGAGCAAACCTAAAAGAGAAAAAAAATGTTAGCAATAAAAAAGAAACAAGATAATTTGGACTAGTACTTATCTTTATACTATTACAAGTAATCACCAAAATTCAAGAGAATCAAAAGAATCCAGAACCACTGGGAGAATCGAAAAAGTCCACTACCAAAAGAATTGAAAGAGTCTACTAGGAGAATCAAAAGAGTCTAACACTGAGAGAATTAAGTGTCTAAGAATCACCAGTAGTTCTTTGTAGACTCTTTGATTCTTCTAGGAATCAAAAGAGTCTATGTAAAACTACTAGCGCCATTACATGTTCTAAGTCGCATGCTATTTTACATCCCAAATAAAGAGTGAATTTTAAAAAACAAACCTAAAAGAGAAAAAAATGTTAGCAATAGAAAAGAAACAAAAAAGAAATAGAAAACTTGGACTAGTACTTATCTTTATACCAGTTCAAGTATTCACCAAAACCTGGAAAAATTAAAAGAGTTCAGAACCACTGTAATCAAAAAAGTCCACCACTAGAATAATTGAAAAAGTCCACTACCAGGAAAATCAAGAGTCTAAGAATCACCGGTGGTTCTTTGTAAACTCTTTTGATTCTTCAGGAGAATCACAAGAGTCTGCAAAGAACTACTAATGCCATTATATACTCTATAACATGCCATTTTACATCCCAAAGAGCAAACCTAAAAGTGAAAGAATGGTAGCAAGAGAAAAGAAACCAAAAACAAAAAGAAATAGTAACTTGGATTGTACTTATCTTTATACTAGTTCAAGCAATCAAAACTCTGGGAGAATCAAAAGAGCCCAAAATAATCCCAAAAATCAACAGGGATCTCAAAAGACATCAAGAAATGAAAATCTATCATTAGACTTGTAAAACCCACTATTAAATAAATAAACCAATATTAAATGAAGAAAACTATGTAAATCGATAACAAAAATCATCATGAAGTGAAGAAGAAAATTACTTTAAACAAGCAAGAAACCAAAAAAATAATTTATTATAAAATGTAATTGGTCAATTATTCGGATGTTCTGAAATTTCTTAGAACTATGAAATTCTATTTTTAGATCATATTTTTGGCTGATCATGTGTTAATCAGCATTTTTGAAACCTGATTTACTCAAAATTGTTTATATATAAAAATAGGCCCTTTTAACTTACAACACTCCATGTGCTCTAGAAGCATATACCAAGGGAAGGAAGACCATATAGACACCTAAAGTTTAGGTAAACCAACCCTTCCGGGTTGCTGGCTGAAAGTAAGAGAGAGACTGATAAAGAATCCAGAAAAAAAGAAAAGTTCGAATGTGGGTGCTGGGGTTGTGCAAACCCAAATACAAAGGCAGGAGTATATAACAACTACTAAAATAAGAAAGTTGTGGTTTGAGATACAGATCGGGTTACAGCAGTATCCTAAAAGATAGCTTGAGACATGAACTCAGTAGCGGCAACACAACAGGTACTAGATTATGAAGAAGTTACTGAACACACAGGTGAATACATGTGTGGGACATGTACTGCTCTGTTAGGTTTACCTTGAAGATAAAGTAGTTCTAGGTAGGGTGTGAAATCTATAGATGTCGCAAAATCTAGTATATGAATAGTGAGTTACAGCTTGGTTAAGTAAGAAATAATAGGCCAGTTGTAACCAGAGAGTTTAAATAGGTAATCTTCTAGTTGGGTTGCAGGTATGACAGCTAGTGTGGAACCTTGGGCAGACTACTTAAATGGGCAACCAAAAGTTGCAAGTATAGCTGGTCGTACTCTCATTTGTAAAAGCCAGAAAGCTTAAACAGATAATCTCCTAGTTAGATTGCAGGTATGGTAGCTAGTGTAGAACTCAGGCGGACTACTTAAATAGATAACCAAAAGTTGTACGTGTGGCTAGTTGTACCCTTATCAAAATTGTAAACATTGTTAATTATTTAATAAAAAGCCCCGGCCATAGAGGTCATCTTAATATTGAAAAAAAATAAAAAAAAAAATAAAATTTTTTGAAAATAAAATTAAAAGCCAGGTTGCTGGTTCACTTTTAAAAATTTTATATTATAAAAACTGAATTATTAAGTTTGCATAGCCTAATTGCAGTTTTAAAATTAGCAAAATTTGTTTTTAAAAAAAAATTTATTAGTAAAATTTAAAATTTTTACAAAATTTTAAAATATCATTCTACTATTTTCAATATACTTAATTCTAAAATTTGAAAATAAGTTAATTTTAAGTTGAAAAGAATATTAGGCTTAAAGTTTATAGTAAATTTATATATTTTTTTATAATTTTTATTATAAAAAAAAACTCATATCCCTTAAATTATAACACAGACAAATTTGGCTGCATTTTTATTAAAAAGTTTAATTTTTTTAATAAAATCTTATATATTGATTTTTAGCTATATATTTTCTAAGTAAAATATTTAATTTTAGATTTGTTTTATAACTTTATTAAGAAAATATTTTAAAATTATTAAAAAACTTTAGTATAATAAAAGTTTAAAGTTCTTGTATTAAAATTTTTACTATGTAATTTTTTTTTTAAACTTTTTTAAATTTTATATATATTTCGCTTATAAAAAAATCTTTGCTTCTAAGTAAAGTCTTAATTTTTATCAGTAAATACTAAAAATATAATAATGAAAGTTGTAATCCTTTATATAATCTATAATATTGTTTTAAGAACTATATGTTTAAAATTAATATTTAAAAGTTTGTCAAAAATTTGTAAATAATTTTTTTGATTAAAAAATTTTCTAAACTTGTCTATTTTTAGCTTAAAAATAACCTAAACTTTTTTTCTTATATTATAAAAACTAATTTTGCAAAAAAGTAATACATATTTTCAAATATAAGTGTGCAAAGTTTTACTTAAATATTTTAGCATTTTTAAAAAAATAAATCAGAGCTAAAAAAGTGCAAAAATATAGACAAATTTGTCTGCATTGGTCTATATATTAAGAGATATAGGGTATGATGACTTAGTGAAATAGTAAAGTTGTCACACCTCCAGATAGCAGCTTTAAAGTTCAAATCCTACAAACACCATTTTGAAAAATAAGCCTGTAATACAGTAATGGTTATAGTTGATTAGTTGGGTCTCAAAACCTGTAATCTTGATGACACCATGTTCACATAGGAGCTTTGGTGCATAAAAGGCCAAAAAACTTTGATGATTAAAACCTGTTTAGAAAGTCCCAAGTTGGAAATAGCAGTGACCTTTGACAGTACTATAGAAAGACCAAAATTTGAAACGAGAGACCAAGATTGGAGAACTGAGCAACCAGATCCTTAAGTGAGAGAACATACAAGCCGAACTGCCAGCTCACCACTAGAGGAAAAGGACTTATGCTCTGGAAGCATATACCAAGGAGAAAGAGACTATAAGCTAATGCCTAGACAGACCAATCCTTCTGGATTGCTAGCTAGAAGTAAAAAAGAGACCAATAAAGAATCTAGAAAAGAAAAAAGTTGAAATATGAGTACCAGGGTTGTTGTAAATCTTGCAAGAGCAAAGAGTATATAATGGGTGGCTAATTAGAAAGGTTGTGGCTTGAGATATGGATTGAGTTATAGCAGTATCCAAAAAAGATAGCTTGAGATACAAATTTGATAGCAGCAGCACAACATGTACTAGTTAGGAAAAAGTTACCAAACAAGTAGGTAAGCACATGTATGAGATATATACTGTTCTGTTAGATTTACTACGAGGATAAATGTCTATGTGGCTAAAGTCTTGGATCATTCCACGGCAATACTAATCTCGTAAACTGTTAGAGTAGAGTGTGTTATACCAATAAAGCCAGAGGATTTAAATAGATAACTCCCTAGTTGAGTTATAGATACAACAGTTAGTGTAGAACTCTTGATTAAAAATAGCTTAGTTGCGGACTACTTAATTAGGTACTCAAAAGCTGTACATGTAACTAGTTTATTCTCATGAATTTGATATAATATCATAAATACCTGAATAAAGCTACATACCAGAGGCCTAAGTGATTACCTTAATATTTAAAAAAAAAACTCATATATTACTATATATAATATATTTTCTGACTGTTATATAAGATACTATTGGGTATAGTTAGATATTTTTCCAAAATTTTGTTACAAGTAGAAAGAAAGATAACAATATTTTGAATATGATATTCAGTAGTTAGAATAATAATAGTATTAATAATATAAGTTATTTGTTTGTCAATAATATTTTTAGTATTAGCAATATTGGCTAGCTATATTGCTTTGTTTTGAATCAGTTTGATTTGCTGGGTGTACTTATTTTCTAAAGTAAATCTATACTCTAAAAATTTGAAGAGATTATGAGTAGGAATAGAGATAAGGTTGGAGTTAAGAAAAGAGATAGACATAGAAGGTTGTTTTGAGATAAAGATAAACTTAAATGAGTTAACTTAAATATTAGACATTTTATAAAAAGAAGCTACTATATTAATAATTTTGTCAATTTCATCTTTGGATTGGGTAATCCATATAGTGGTATCCATATTAGCTAGTACTAATACAGAGATATGAATATGGCTAGTAGATAATAGAGTAAAAGAGAGTTGCTATGATAAAAAGAGAGTATAACCAACAAATTGGATTAATATATATGTAATAAGGAGGTCATAGTAGATTTTTCAAAATAGAGGAATAATAGTTTTTTCTTGGTCAATATCATTTTTACAAAGTAAAAGTTAGTAAAACCAAGGTTAGTAATTACTCAGTTGGTATAGTTAAGAAAAATATTAGATAAAATACTAATAAGCTGCTGAGGTATTTGTAGTCAGATAAGAGAGCTTAAAGAGCCCAAAGTTGACTAAATTATATGTTTTGCTTATATGTTGTAATAATAGCCAGAGTTGGTTGAATTGGCAATTAGTATCTTTGATAATATTGTTAAGAATATGTATAGGGATAGAAGT